GCTTCAAGTGTCGCTCTATCTTTAGAGAATGCGTTTTTTAGTTCGAAATATACAGAATTTAAAGTTATTGATAACCTAACAAGGTATTTTGGATTAAGTAGTTTATTGGTTTAAGACTTCTTTGATATTATATATTTACGTAATATATTTACCTAATAGGCAGTAGAAATAGTAGAAAAACTGTTGTGTTGTGTTTTATGCCATTAGTTTTGAACTCGCTCTGACTGCGACCTCACATAGAATGCGAGATCGTTAAGAACCCTTTGGTTTAGGTTAGGTAAAAGAAGAAGAACAGGTTACAACAAAACTGTGTACTTGCTGGAGAACTAATGTGGCACTATGCTATTGCAACAATTTTTCAATGGTGACTCATTCTAAGTTGATGTGATCAATCATCTTATATGTCTAGCCCTACAGACGAACCGGCTGTAATATATAGGAAACTGTTTCTTGCCTCACTATGTAGAGTAAGTGGAAGTAGACGTATCGGATCTCCTTAATTTTAAAAAGTATGACATATGAAGATATTTTGGAAATTATAGTTAGTTTATCTCGACAAATCCTAGTAACTTTAAGCGCATTAAAATGTGTAATAGTTGTCTCCGAGTGTAAGAGTTGATGTTTAATTATTACGCGCTTTTTAAACCTTACCTATGTTGAACTTGCTATGCTATATATAATGAAGGTTGGGAATGCGGGTGTCGTGTCTGGATAATAGGAATATAGGATAATAGGAAACTGTTTTAGTTTTTCTAAAAATATTTTGTTTATTGCTTTTATCAGTATTGTCATTTTATCTTATAATCATTCTATAATAGAAACTTCAAAACAATATGATTTCAGCAACTAATCTTAATATTTCTGTAATTAGTAATTAATATTAATAGTGTTGTTGTTGTAATCGTTCTGTTGGAAAAATGCCGGAAAAATTATAAGTATTCCAAAAAAACTAAAACGTACGAAATTTATGAATGGCAGAGCGTAGTGAATGGTTATAACAACACTCAATGATTTCATGAAGGAATAAAGTAATTGGTTACATTGACTGCGTGCCTACTTGGCTGTTTGGTTGGTTAGTTGGTTGGTTCGTTGGTTTTTCATGCCTCTAAGGTTTCTTTAATGTGATGATGAAAAGCTGAAGTTAATCACAGAGACTATTGCAGTAATATAAGTGCTTGTATGAAAGTATGCTACTACTACTGTTAAACATTAATATGAAAATTTGTCGCCGGCGTTTATGTCGACGGAAAACTTATTATCAAAACCTACAAAACGAGTCGCTGCTAAGATGTAGCTTAACGGTATGTTCCACTATTGTCATGTTGCCAAAAGCCATTCATAAAATTATGTCTCAATGAGTTCACCCCGTCTTTCACATTACTTCCTTACAATCATTCGCTTTTTTTTATTTATTACATTTAACTGTAGTTGCTGTTGCCGTTGTTATTTTTATTGTTGTATGTGTTAACAAAATTACGCTTCTCAAATTCATTCATTATTTTCTTGTTTTTGTTATCATTTAAATTTTTTTCTTTTTAATTCAGTAGTGCTTCAATGGCTGCACTTTAACTGCAGTTGTTTTTGTTACACTCTCTTGGTTTCCACTTGCTCGCATTCATTCCACTTGTGTAATAAATTTTCCTCAAGTTTTTCCACAATCGTGTTTTTTTCCTAGACTCATTCATAAATAATGTAAAATTACTCGTTTGCATAGAAAGTATTTCGACTTCATCATGCCTCATGTCGTTAGTTTGGCTCGTAACCAAATTACGTTTTCTTCCTCTTATTATAAAATTGTTTCTTCGAAATTTTATAAAATTTAGGTAAATTACACCTTTCGGTGTTGTGCTTGCAACACTTGCAACTCTTGCAACACTTCAATTGTAACACACAATTGCTGCTAGTAACCCATAACTATTCGCATTTCTATGTATTTTTTGCTGAAGTTCCATATCTTTTTAAATTGAAGAAGATAAAGATAATAAGAGCATAACTTTAAGCAATATTTATAGACTGAAACAAATTAATTTTTGCATAAGTTAGATAAATGTAAAAATTGAGAAAAGAAAAATGAATATAAATTTTACAATATATAGATGTATACATATATTAAAAATTGAAAATGTTTATATTCTGTAGTAATTTTCCATAGAAATGTTCAAGTCACATGACACTTTTATTCGACAATTATTGTTCTATTACTAGCATTGACAATGCAGTCATTGTCATTATTGAGTAATGTGTATATTTAAGTTAAATTGAGAAATAAGCAATAATGCAAATGCAAAAATTGTGTGCAAAAACAAACAAATGTACATTAGGTAAAGGTAAGCCAACCTGACAGTTCTATAAATTTGGCTAAGCCCCCCTAATAATCGGTGAGAAAAATTGTTTCTGAAGATTTTGGATCTTCTCGTTGTTAGGGAGGATAGCATGCTCCCTATTATGCAGTGGCCCGACAGCACAGATAGCGTAGTGCTGAGCATATTCCGCCTTAGTTGAAGTAGCTAATCAATATAGCGTCAATATAGAGATCTATGCTTAGAATTTAATCCTTTGTTTCGAAAAAACTGGACAGTGCAGTAATAAGTGTTTATTTGTTTCCTCCTTTTTATGTGGTATATGTATAGAGTTTTTTAATGCCATAAAAATATATTTTCATAATATTGATAACATGTGTTTTCCTTTCGCAGTTTGCAATTCTTTTAACACTGCTCTAGTTGTGTTCTGTTATGTTTTTGCATGAATTCTACGCATAAATTATTATCTAAAGAACTTCAAATTTTAATAAAATTCCAATATTAATAATATCTAGAAAATCAAAATTACGCAAGATTACTGAAGTGGCAGCTGTATTTGAAACTCAGTTGGAAAAAAAATTCATTAATGAATTTCAAAAACAAACCCTTCTTTTTCCATAGCAGACGTTTACTTGTACGTTATTCATAAAAACAACAAAAGTAAAAGAAAAAAAAAGTACGTGATAACTTAAAAGGCCAATTTCCATTATATACTTCATTCACAAAAAGATACCAAATGTGTATGGTAAAATGCCGACCGTATCCAAGTATCTGTGCTTATGTATCTGAGCTTATGTATCTGTGATTGTTTGCTGAAACAGCAGCTGCGTTAACAGTAAAACACTAAAACAGCAAAGCGCAAAACCGACACATCAGCATAAAAGCGCAATTGTACGATGAGACCAGTGAGCTTACTACCAACTTAAGTGATATAGGTCTGAGCGTGTAGTTCGCATAGTTGAGGAGGGTGCTGTGCATCACTTTTACAATTTAAATTTTTAAAGTAGCAAAAACGGAAATGGAATCAACATGCGCGGTCGGTGGCAATAACAGAAACTAAAAAAAAAAAAAGTTGAAAAATAAAAAAATATCCAAAAGCCTCTGTTAATAACAAAGACGTAGAAAAACCCTGCGAACCATGACGTTGATTCTCTGATGGCGGCGGTATTAATGAATGAATTTATTTTTTCTTGTTGTTATTATTGTTGTTTCTGCTGTTGGGTCTTTATAAGAACATTTTTTTTCTTTCAAAATGTTATTGCCTTATAAGTTTTCCGCTCAGCTTAGAAAAAGACAGCACAAGCAAGCGGTAGAGAAACAGAAAATAATGCAAAAATCTTTGATGCGGTACATTTACGCGGCAACAACGGAAATAATTCTTCCTACTGCTGCCAACTCCGTTTAATTTCATTCATAAACACGTAAAAGTAAAACAATTTTATGAATGAAGTTGTAGCAAAAGATAACAACAACATCAACAACAATAAGAATTTTGTAGCATGCAAAAGGTTTTAAAGCATAAATTACGCCACTGTTCCAACAATTCCAACAGCAACAAAAATATAAAAAAAAAAACAATTTATTGTAAAAATACAAAAGACAACAAAAATTATACAAGAGGAAATTCTTGAAGACCTTTTTTTGTGGCTTACTCAGATGTGGCATGGCGTAGCCAGCCGACGATCCCATTGTATGTGACGATGGTGTGGTGTTTATGTTGCGCAATTTTATGTCTCAGCTGCTTTTTGAATATTTGAGGGGATCGTTTCTTGGATCCAAGAAGCTAACTTCTTTACAAACGCGTAGATGCCAGTGTTACGTTCTTTGTCGCTGCATCACGATGATGAGCTATGCTGAACTGAGCTCATTCATTATTTCAGTGAATTACTCTTTCCATTTGAATGATTCGTTTCTTCAGCACTAAAAATGTTGATTATTCATTTTTTTTGCTCGCGTGCAGTAAAATATTTTGAAATTTTTAGTATATTTTTCACATTTTTGTATTTAATTTTGCGTGAAAGTATTTATTGCATGCTGTTCGTACTAATGAGATTTCATTTAATGGTTTCTGCATATCTTTTTTCGTTTTTTTTAAAGATTTTAAATTTGCAGAAAATTTATAAATTCTTACAACACACTCTGTTCAGAAATATTAAAGTATTATTAAAAAGAGCTAAAATATATTATTTTTTAAAAAATTCTTAGTTATAGAAAACACTGCTATATCCTATAACTATTGTTTATAGTATAAACCACATATTACAACCAATAAAAAATATAATAGTTTTCTCAAGTTTTTTGTAACACAGAGTTTTCAGAGATTATAGCACTACATACATATATTCTGACAGGAAAAATTGTTTTAACCGCCTCTCCCTGTTTGTATTTGTGTATGGCTGTCTATCTGTTACTATATCTCTGTTTTTACAGTCGTTACTTTACTTTTAAAGTACTAGGTGGATTGATTACCTGACTTCACAACAGGTGGCAACGCCAGAACCAGTTTTAAACAGTTTTAAATGACAACTGTAAAAATTTCGACTTCATCAGATATCAGATATTTGGTTAGCTTTTTGCAAAAAATTGAAATATTGCACCTATTTGTAGTGGTGATATTTTATAAAATGGAAAAAATTGAATATCGTTCCTCCATTTGAGAGGAATGAACAACAATGCAATCAAATTGAAAATAGATCCTGCTTACGTCAACCTGGCACCATCATTAACAACAATAAAATATTGGAAAGTTAAACTTAAACGTGGTCGTACTAGTGTTTTTGATGAAGAGTGTCCCGGTTGTTCAAAAGAAAGCACAACTGAAAGAAGGATTAAAAAAATCCACGATATTGTGTTAGATGATCCAAAAGTTAAATTTCATTAGATAGCAGAGATGACAAACGTATTTTTTATTACTGAAGCCGGGTATTCATCAATCCACCTAGTAATAAGCTTATCTAATAAAACTTTGTTAAGAGACTTAACGTAAATCCTGTCAAGCTGAACTCTGTCCATTTGTCGGTTAAACTATTTTGCTATAAGTTTGAGCTGTTTAGCTTTGTTAGTCCGGGGTTTACTCTCAAACATAGAGCTATTCTATTTAATGGGCTGAATTCTGTCAGCTAAAACTTAATCTGTGTGTCTGTTTG